CAGCCAGCATGGCCTTTGGGAGGGATAAACCAGATGGGATCACATCTTTGCTTCAACCTTCAAGGGACTCCTAACCTGTCATGGTCTATAAAGCCCTAGAGGACTGGCCCCAGCCTCCCTCTCCGACCTCCTCTCCTTCCACTTTCCTCTTCTGACATTGCACCTAACTTGGCAAGTGGTAGTTTCTTCAAGATTAATGAAAACATGGAAGCTAAAACACCCATGAACTTTATGAACTCTGTTCCATTAACGTGTTTGAGCTGTCTCACACTCTAAATGAATCTTTAACCCACATAAGGATTTTGTACCATCACGCACTGATCATTTGGAAAACATTAGTTCACTGAGTTATGCAGAGGTTCCCAATGTTAGCACAGCTCATTATAAAATAACAAAACAGAATCACATTTGTTAATTATCACCATGAATCTCATATTTTAAAAAAAGTGAAACTATAGGGAGCCTGGCCGGACAAAAGAATTTCAAAATTCTACTTTTCACTTGAAAATGCAAATTCTGTCATTGCAGCAAATTCTGCCAGTAAGTTTCCTTGAAGTGATGGACTAATTTCAATCTTTTTCAGAAACAATTTACCAAATACCCACATCTGAACAGCCATGGTTTGTCAGTCAGTCATTATTTTAAGCAAAAGTAGCATTCTTTGAAAATTACTGGCTAATTCAGCTCTCAACTCAAACAACAGCACAATTGCCTTTCCCCTAAACACCAGTGTACTTTGAAAAGCCGTGGAAGTGTTTGATGGGCACTGTACTCCATTTCAATGCCCAGAACATTCCAAAGAGATGTACTCAAAGGTCAACAATTAATACCTTTTACTGCTTCAACAAGGACATTCTTATATGAAACGGATGTTATTTTGTGGCAGTAAAGAATCTGCTGACTACCTCGACAGTTGGAGCCTACTGCCTTGACTTGCACCAAGTGACCAGCAATTTTACCCACATTGCTTTTGCCTCATCAATGCAAATGTCCACACTATAAAAATAAATTTAAATGGCAGAAGGGGAAATAGCACCTTAGTGTTATTGTGAAAATAGTTTTCATAGAGTATACCCCCTGAAAGGGCTTCAGACTCCCCTCAGATCCATGTTCCACACTTTGAGAGCCTTTGCTCTAAGACACCTTCTAATTCTAAGAAAATATGACCCTTTCCTAGCATCAGATTCCCTAACTTTATTTAAACCTGTCATCACAACTGATGCCCCAAAAGAGATCAGAGTAGCCTCAATATTCCAATTACCCCTCATTCCACCTAGATTCTGCATCAAGGGATGTCGGGTATGGCTGGGAGTGAGCAGGGAGGTGTTCGAATGTGAGCATCCAGGTGAGTCCACCAGGCAGCATCCTGCATTAACATTGGGTGGTAGAATACAGAGAACGAACGAGCTGATGTCAGGGCTCCCATAGGGGGTCTCAGGCCCCTCCAAGTCCTTTCCAGGCAGAGTTTTCAGGAAACATCCTCCTTTCTGCAAGGCTGTTTATTTCTTCCCCCAATTAATTTCTCCTGACAACTAACATTAGACATATAAGGAATGATTTCTGGTCTAGGTCAGCCACTCCATAACTATTTATTATCCTGCAGGAAGTCATTACTCTTCTCACATCAAGATGACTGATTTAACAAAATCTAATTACAGCAGTTCATAGACACAGAATTTCAAAGGGTGGTTTAGGGACAGAGCAACCTGGTAAATAATTACTTTTTCTTGCTTCTGGCTCTCTAGTCACACAGAAGCCCTTATCACTGTATCCCTGGTTTGTGACTTTTAAGAACTAGCTGGGAGTCAGAGAACTGGGGAAGTGGAAAGGGAGGAGATTTGCATCAAAACAAAAGGTTTTTAGGGTATTAATAAGTCTAAATGCATCCTATAAGGACAAGTGATATGGCTGCAGAGCCCTGGGTGATATTTAGAAGAAGGCTGCAAAGAATTTCTGAAGTCAATGTCAGGGTAGAGACTATTTGGAGTTTGGGACCACATTGAAATGGACAAGATTTCACCACAGTAGAAATAGGTAAATATAACCAATCTCAGCCCTTCTTCTCTGGAGCCATCAAGGAGCATTCTCTGTGACCTTGAGGATTTAATCAAATGGGTACAAAAAAGGTAAAGCTTCTCCCAAAGAGAGCCAGACAGCAAGTCACTGTGCCAGCTGAGAATTTCTATATACCCATTCTTCCTATCAATCAGTCTCTTACCATTTTAACAAATATTATTGTTTTCACATCTATCCTGTATCTAACTCTGAGCTGGGCATTGGGGAAAATATAAAATTATTAATATTAAACCCTTTATTTCCAGAAGTTTCCAACTTTCGGAGGGAGATAAGAATTATGTACAAACGATAATAAAGATAATACATGCAGTGATTAGTTACAACATGGATCTTCCACTTCTGAACTGTGTGACATTAGACAAGTTACTTAAACTTTATGAGCTTTGGTTTCCTCATCTATAAAAAGGGGATAATCCTGGTATATCTCTCACAGGGTTGTTTTGGACTTTTAATGAAATAACATGTGCAAAAAGCCTTTTGCAGAGCCTGTACATAGCATTTACAACATCTGAATCAATTATAACTACTTTTTTTTAAAAATAACTACCATTTTTGACTGTCTAAGCAATGACGTTCCTTCCTAATAATATCCAGGAAGCATTATTCCCAACTTACAAATTGTACAATCTGAGGCTCAGAAAAGTAAAATAACTCACTGCACTATGCTACCTCTCAGATGAGAATCATTGTAGAAGAGCAGAGAAAGGGACAGGAATGGAAAGGACATGAGCCCCTTGATGGTGTGGTAGCCCATCTCCCAGAGCATCCCCCTGTGAACCGCAGTATCTGTGCCCTGTGGCAGGCCCCTCACACAGTGAATGGGGGCCGGCTGTGTAATACATGTGGTAGAATGAGGCCACATGATGTCAGAGGTAGGTTAAAGAAGTCCAGAAGCCTCCACTTACATTCTTTGGGACGCTTGCTGTTTAGATGCTCCTTCTAAGAGCTCGGCTGCCATGCTGTCAGCAGCCTAGGCCCAAGCCTCACCCTTGCTGAGCTCCCCTCAACAACTAGCACCCGCTGACACCCTTGGGCATGCACCACCCGGGGCTTCTATCCAGCTCAAGCCTCAAGACAACTACGGCCCAGCCAATGGTTGATTACAGCTGCTTTTGAGAAAGCCACATGAGGACTGCCTCACTGCAGGGTCCCATTTCCCTTAGTATGTAGAAAGATGCAAGGGAATCTTTCTCTCAACCTAATAATAAGGAGTGACTAGATAATCCAAATAATCATGACTTTTCTGGAGCCCATCAGAGAGCTAAAGTCACAAGGCAACTAGGCTGACTTAATTCCAGAGCGTGGTAGCCCCTCCAAGAAGCAGCAGGACACATGAACTGTTTCTCCTGTGGCAGAGCAAGGGCAGCAGAGATGGCCGCCATAAAAGCAGGTGGCAGGGAGGGACCCACTCTTCATTAGGCTTTGTATGCTCAAACTCTTTTATAGTTTTCAAGGGGCCTGGACTGAGAAGCAGACGGTCTGTTTTATGGATGTACACCGATCACAGCTGTGACCTTGGGAAGCATCCCCCACTCTGGCCCCTGTTCCTCTATCTGGCTGGCCTGCCCACTGCAGGGATCACGATGATGGCAGTGAGCATGCCTTTGGGACAGCCACACCTCCCAAAGTGTGGCAGAGGCCACTGAGACTAGGAGGCCAGGGCACTCCAGGACAGGCAGGGGCTTCGGCACACCCCTCAGCTGGCTGGCCCCAAAGGTTCTGAACACCTCCCGCCTCTCCTGTTCGTTGATTAATGTGTATGACTTTAAACAAATCACAGATTCTTTGGTGCTTTGTCCTCCAAGGTTCAGAGAAACTACTACAGACACCCTCACTGCACAGACACACACACACACACACACACACACACACACACTCATTCACAAACACCATGGTGCAGAAGAGGAAGTGGCTGACCACCACTATACCATCAAAATAATCACTGATGCCAAGTGACTTGACAAATTAAATGAGGCAGGGAAAATAAATTCTCTTAGTGAACCTCTAAATGAACAAAACAAACTGGGCACAAAAGTCCTGAGAGAAGTAGGAATGTTTTTTTACAAGATACCATCTATAAAGGATCTATTAAGTGCCAGGTATTTTAAATATTTTTAGCATTCTCTATCTCTAATTCATAGAAAACTAAAAGTTAGACATCACCGCCCCATGGAAAAGCCAACACCAAGTACCGAGCAGTGGTTATGCCACAGGCTCTGGAGTCAGACTACTCAGGTTTGACTGACGCTCTTCTACTTACTGTGTCAAGTTCCAACTTGCGCTAGGTTCCAGTTTACCTTCACGGGTTCTAGTTTGTCTCTGTAGGCCCAGATAGTCCTCACTCCTCTCCACTCACACCCTTCTTTTCTTCCCAAAAGCTGGCCTTGCTGACCTGGGGCAACTTCAAGCCAAGGACCAGAAGAAGAGCAAGTCTTGCATAGACTCCTTACCCCCTCCTATAATCATATAAGATCTAGTGCCTGCGATGTACCCCTTATTCTGTGCCATCCATCCCTGCTGCCCTGATAGAACCATAACCAACAGTATAGTCAGTCCAAAGGAGGTCCCATGAGAGTTCAGTCCTAAAACCTTAGATATTTAAATCACTAACATGCTAACCACCTTTTAGTGCTACCTTCCTAACATTATTCCTCCATGCCGTAGGATGGACTTTGTTCTATCACCAGCCAATGTTATTTCCACCTCAGTTCATACCAACCCCTACAATACACCCCTAAACCAGTCCCAGGTAACATGTTTTCAATCTGCCTGATGCCCATAGCTGTATGATTGATAAATACCAATAAAGGCTATAAAACCCATGAGAATAAAAGGGGAAAGTTTGAAGCAATTATATTCATACAGTTTAGTACAATCATCAGGATGATATTTGGGCTTTGGAGTTATAATTGAAGATGAATCCAAGCTCCACCCTTTCTGATCACTGGATGTTAGCCAAGTTGTTAAACTTCCAAGGGTCAGTTTCCTTATCTGTAAAATGGGAGAATAATCCATTCATTATCAGGTTTCAGTGAAGATAAAATAAGGAAGAGGGTAGAAAGCACTTGCTATAGTGTTTTTAAAGTTCTCAATAGTATATCAGATATGTATATACATGTGCACACATACACACACACGCACACAGGAGCCTGTCTCTCCATTAGGACTACACGGGGGTGTTCCACTATTTTGGGTACTGTGTCTTATCTCCAGTAACTGGGATGCTTATTGTGTAATGAATAAGTGGGTGGATAGATGGATGGGTGGATGGTGATTTTTGCTTTGCGCAGCATTTCCAGAAGAGAAGGGCCAATGGGAAGGAAATGGACCTGAAAATCATGACTGTGAAAGGGAAGTTAAGTCAAGGACATAGCTACAGAGAAATCACTCAATATTGCCTCAGCATTAGGCTCTGCTAGGTTTTTGTCCTCAGTTCCCCAGGGTTTGTTCTTTAAGTATGGCACTGTGTTTCTTTCACAGACTTTGATAGTTGTCCAACCCCTTTCATGAACATAACGGCATTAGATCTTTGCAATAGCCCCCTAAGGCAGGACACATGACTGCCAGTGTCCCTGTCTTACAATCAAGGAAAGGAGTTTTAGGGAGGCTGAGCACTCCATTCTGACAGCTGACCAAGGGCTGGGTCCATCATAAGCCATGGCCTGACCACTCTGGATGCTAAACAGAGATGCAAGGAAATCAGAGTGGCCGTGAGAAATGCTGCTTTTCCACTAGAGCAAAATTATGGCGACTGCATCTTGGTCCTGTGGAACAAGCATGATGCTTCTAGAGGGGAGCTAGGGTTCCAGTTCTGGACCTGCTCCTTTTAGCTGCCATGTGGCACGCACACAGGGAAGCACGCGGACTTCCCAACCTAGCAGATCTGAGTTTGCCTCCCGGCTCTGCCACTATTTACATAACCTTGGGCAAGTTACCTAATCTCTTTGAGTCACAATTTTTCAACTTACAAAATTAGGATAATACCCAATTTTGAAGCCTGAGATGACCTAGCAAAGTTCCTAGAACCTAGCAGAGGTTCAGTCAATGAGATCCCTCCATTCTCCCTTCACTACCCAGGTCCTCTTCAGTACAGCAAAATGAAATGTTATAGTGTCACAGTTCAGAGCATGGACTTTGGAGCCAGCCTGCCTGGATTTAAATTCTAGCTCTACCATTTATTGGCTATGTGACTTTGGTCAAATTACTTAACCTCTCTGTGCCTCAGTTGCTCTTCTGTAAAATGGAGACAATAATAGCTACTGCACAGCGTTGGTGTGAAGATTAAACAAATTAACATTTGTAAAGTGCTTAGAATACCTACTGGCATATGGCAGGGGCTACAAATGTTTTCTTTCTAAATAAAAAGTAATCATCTTCATAGAACATTGGTGGAAAAAACAGCTTTGAAATACTTTTTGAATTTAGAAGCAACAGACAAAGGAAGAGACATACTAACGCACCTCCCTCAAGTGTCAAAACACTTGTAAGATTGAGCCCTTACACTTTCATAGGCACTAAATAAGATACAAAATGACTAAGTCAGGGTCCTTCATTAGTAAACATGTTACATGCCTCCTGTGCTCCTGGTTCTTTGTTAAGCATTGGAAGTAACATGGTGGGCAATGTAACCAAGGCCATGACCTTTATGGAGCTACCATTCAGGAGACAGAAGATGGCAAATTTAGGAAAAGAAAAAAAAAGATCATTTCAGCTTGTGACAAGTACTTGGATGGAAAGATAATGTTGTACTGTGACTGAGGACAATGGCAGGAAGGGGATGCTTTAGGTAGAGTAGTCACGGAAGGCTTCTCCAAAGAGGTGACATGTAAGCTGAGACCTAAAGGCTGTGAAGGTTCTGCTCATGGAGTTCAAAATAAGCCCTCCTGCTGAGGTTGGGAGGATTCAGCATGAGTATAAATACAAAGATTCTAATGGAAACTACCTCACAGGATTGTTCAGAAGAACAAATAAAATGAAGTACAAGAAACACCTGGCTAGGTACCTAGTAAGTGCTAAATATCATTATTGTCTCTGTGGTTAAGGCATCACTTCTCAGTAGCACGGTTTCTGTGTCTTCAAATATAATGCTTTTCTGGGCCAATCTCTGCCTCTTAGAGCAGCATCCATTCAGGAACTCATTCAGCAATTCATCGGAATCAACACACAGTTATTACGACAGCTTATTTATGAGCCACATAAAAGATATGAACATGATAAAAGATAAAATCCCACCCTACTCTCTAGGGACATATAGCTCAACAGAGGAAATAGATATCAACAAACTCACAAGGAGGCAGCCCAGTGCCAGGGGGTAACAGCATCCCCTGCAGAACAAAGGATGACAGTGGCCCACAGGTCCTACGAGAGAAGAGATGGGATGGAGGGTTAGGAAAGTCTGGCTATCTGGGGAGGGGTCTCCAGGCATCAGATGAGCTTTTAGCTTGCCAGCATACTGGAGCAGCGAGAGGTAACACCTGCCTGGCTCCTGACACAAGGCCCACAGGAAAGCCCTGGGGTGTAGAGGAGGCATGGGTGTGAGCTGAAGGAAGAGGGGTCCAGACACTGCAGACAGAAAAGTCACACCTCAGGCCCTGGGGCAGCAGTGCAGAAGGCAGAGAGAACAAAAGACTGGACCACTCTCGCCCTGCCCAGAAGGAAACATCAATTCAAAAGCACTCAACGCATACCAGCCTCCAACCTCTGCTGGCTTCGGTCTCTGCCTGGAGCTCCCTTTCTGCTCCCCACTTCCAGCTTCAGTGCCCAGCTTCAGACCCCCATCCTGTCTCCCTGAATATTACAGCCCACAATGATGACGACCCCCTAAACAGTCGCAACATGTGTTTACAAGGTTCTGATCTTTCTCCCATCGAGTGCCCAATGCATACAGGACCCAGGGCTAGGTGCTGGAGGGAGAACTGGTGCAGTATACTGTCCAGGATGCCGGGAGATCCAGGCGGACCTCACACCCTCAACATAAAGTAAGTCTGGGTCAGTGCTGAAAGAGATGCAAATAAAAGGGAACAGGACATAAAAAAATAATGATTTCATACTTACTGTGCATCCTATTTTCCTACACTACATTGCAAAGTCCTTCCTTCCTCCCTTCATGTGTTTATTCAAAAAATATTTACTGAGCAGACTATTGCAAGTGATTACGATACTCCAGTGAACAAAACAGACGAAAGTCCATCAGTGAGGTGGGATTTTCATGAAGGCAGGCAAGAGGTAACAAAATGATTATGAGGGCTATTACAGCTTGTAGTGAGTGCCTGGAAGAGCTATTCAGTGGGAAGGCCCGGGGATGAGTAGTACCTGGGCCCCGGGGGGAGGCCAGAGTGGCTGGAGCTGAATGAGGATGGGGAGTAGGAGAGGTGGTCTGAGACATGATAGATGGGCCATGGAGAAGAATTAGCTTTTTCTCTGAGTAAAATGTGAGCCACTGGGAGATTTTGTGTTGGAAAGGAACATGCTATAACTTACATTCAGGGGGCTGTTGTAATACTGCAAGAGAGAAATGATGACAGCTTCAACCAGGTGAGAAGTAGGGAAACAGTTTTACATTTCATTTCCCTCCCTAATGCTTAGGACCATCCCTGGCATCTGGTAGATAAGGGATAGAAAATTGATCAGATTGAAATTAAACACAAACCTAAAAAGCCCCTGGGATCTGAGTTCCAGTCAAGTGCCAAGCCCCACTGCACCACTGAGGACAGACCTACTTAGGCTGAGCAATGTGCCCTCACTGGGCAAGGTCCAGGTGGTGCTGAGCAAGTTTCAGCTTGTGCCGTGGAGAGCTGAGCTGGCAGTCTTGACAGCAGTGAGCGCGAGCCTGGGGTCGCATGGGCTGGCGCCGAGAGCTGCGAGAAAGTCCAGCGTGCTGGGCAATGTGATGGGAATGGAAAGATCCCTGTACTTCCATCATGTCATGAATTTGTAATGTATCAAATGCCTTCAAAACTAAAGAGCCCTCCACAGTCCCAGCCTCCACCCTCTCAGGTTGTGGTAGCCAGGGCTGCCCTGCATTTCAGTCCAGAAGCCTGGTAAAGAGATGCTTACAGAACTCAGAGGGACAGAAAGTGATGCTTCAGGAACCAGGCCCAGCTTGTAAGATGCAGTGTGTGCTGGAATGTAAAAGGAGATGACGCGAGCACAAAGTGAGAGAGAAATCAATTATCCATAGACTGCATCACCCTGCTCCAGCCAACCTCCACTCGCCACTCCCCCAGACTCCATCCAAGCAACGCATTATGTGTGCTTTCTGGTTGGAGAGCCAGGGAGGAAGAGTAAAGAATAGTAATCTTCATGATCATTCCAATTACTTCCTGTGAGACACCAGCGACATAAGAACTCATTCTGCAGCATCTTGTAAGAATTAGTTGAGGTGAGAAACTACAGGCAGATGGAGAAAAATGCAGGAGTGACTTTCACTGCCCTGACCTGTCCATCTAAAGGAGTTACTCCCCGTAGTCACTATTATATCAGCTTGTGTCTGGTCCATTCAGGCTGCTATGACAAAATACCACAGAGTAGGAGACTTATAAACAACAGACATCTACCTCCGAGGGAGTGAAGAAATACTTCACCAGCTTGAGGCAGCCTGTGCATGGGAAGAGCCCTTGCACACCGTTCTCGGAGTCCATTACTAGTCAAAGAAAAAACTTAACCCCTGTTAATCTAATACTTTACCCTTGTCATAGCACAAAGTATATTTTCTGTATTTGATCCTCACAGAGAATTTGTGAGAGAACTATTATCATTTCAGTTTTACAGGTGAGAAAACAGCCTCAGAAGCATTCATTGATGGCCTCAAGGTCATACAACTGATCAATAGCAGAACCAAGTTCAAGTTCGGTGTTCATTCTGTGTTTGTGGAATTTTAAAAGAAAGGCACTTACTCCTATCTAGATCACTTTTTAAAAAAAATTTCTCTATCTACATTCCCTAAGATTGGGTTCAGTGTAATTTCCTTACTCTGGAAGAAAGTATGGCCTAGCAGAAAGAGCTTGGGCTGGAGTTCCGACCAGGCTGCAGGAACCAGTTATGTAACCTTGGACGAGTCTTGGCTCTTCACAGCAGGCATCCGTGTCTCCTTCCATCACGTGGATTTAATAATGCCTGACTTGTCTACCTCACAGAGCCCCGTGAGGCTCTAATAACAGAAGAATGAAAAACGCCACAGAGATCTAAACTCAACATTGTAACAGGATGACAGGCTCTTGTGTCCTGGCCCTCCCTGCTTGAATATCTGGTCATGAAGGGGTCCCAGCTCCTCTCACCTCCACTTCTTTCCCATCTTATCCCAGTGACTTGGTTTTTCCCTTATCTGACCCTTACTTCAGAACTCATATCTAAGATTACAACCACTGAACTTTAATCCTTAAACATGTTATGTGGATTATATCTCAATTTTTTTTTTTAAGAGAAAGAGGCAATTGCTGGCTCTGGAAAGAGGCATAAAGACATACCTAAAATTGCAGCTATGGTAATTAGGAAGAGAGAAATTAATTGTAGGAGATTCTGAGGGAGAAGTAGGAGCCAGCTATGATGGCAGTTTTAAGCCTGGGAATGAGGGAAGATGAGGGTGCCTTTAACAAAAAGAAAAGCAAGCATGTCTGGGAGAGACAGTGATCAGCTCAGTGGAGGGTATATTCTTGGGGAAATATTTGTTGGTGTGAAATTTCCAAAGAAGAATCATAAAAAATACAGGTGTTTTAAAGCCTGTATCACTGATCACTTCAATCATTGAATCTCCTATAAGCCTATTTATATTGTTTTTTTTTTTCTTAAGGTTTAGACCTCTGATCCTGTTTTTCAGCATGCCTTGTAATTTGTGATTGAATGTCTGACATTGTGGGTCAGACCTGTAGAGGTTCTACATAACATTGTCTTTCTCCAAGAAGGATTAAGGTTTTCTTTTCTTCAAGCAGATAAAGGACTAGTAACTCACCTTGAACCCATCCAGGTTTGCTTTTAGGCTTTGTTACTGCCAATCTATTTCTATTTTTTCCCTTACCCTTAGCTCATGGTCAAAATTCTAAGGGAATTTAGGATAGGGCCCCTATTCCTATGACTCAGGCCTCTTGCAGCCTTACCTTAAATCCAGGGTGTTCACCAAGGCCCCCGTACTTTGGAAGGACTCGAACATCATCCTTTATCTTCCCAGAATTCCCAGCTGAAATCTCTGCCCAGCTCTTTAGCCTCCCTGTGTTTCCTGGAATCTCACTCCAGGCAGGTGCAACTCAGGAGTCATGCAATGACTTCAGGGAATTTGCTTGCATATTTGAAGGCTCACTTATCTGTGCTCCCCTTCTTTCTGGCAGCCCTAAATGCTGAGGAGACCTCTGCCTATTCAGCTAGTGATGTGATGCCTTCCCCTCGGGCTCTACTCCCCTTGCTGAGAATGAGAAGTAGCGTCAGGTAGCTTGTCTGGTTTACTGTCCTTCTCCCAAGGATCACAGCATCTCCACTTCCTGTCTGAGTTGGTTGCTCCCTAAAGCTTGCTTTCAAAAGTATTTTAAATATTTTGCCCAGGCTTCATAATTGATTTTTGGGGAGCAGGTTAATGCTCCCCAAACATTACTCCACTGAAACTAGAAATCTTTATTAAGAAAATAAGGACCGAGACTTGGAAACCTATTTTGTGGAGCCAGAAGGGGAGCAATCAAGACAGAAGGAAATGAGAGAAGAGGAAAACCAGAATATACAATCTTATGAAAGCCAAAAGAGAATAGTGCCGTGCAGTTAGCATTATCAAAAAGAAAAATGGTTATGAAATGAAGACTAAAATAAGGAGAACCTGGCTCCCCCATGATGATAAGAGAAAGTTTGTCGTGAACCATGAAACGCAATGTAAATGTGCACTGTGATTTCTGTTATTACTCTTCTGGCTCATCTGTATTCCTCCCTCCTTGCTCATGCAGGTTTTAGCAGACAGAGGACTGTGGGACTGGTCAGCACTCAGTGCACCAGCATTCGCCCTGGGCTGGGTCAGGGGGTCAGACATCCCAGAGCAGCACGAGGATGCTCACTGGCCAAGTGCCACTTCTCAGTGCCCTTCAGAGGCAGGGTGCCCCAGAGGCAGCCGGATCTAGGGAAGGGCTCTGGGTGGAGTGCCAGGCAGTGCGAAGCAGGGGAGGAATAGAGACAGACGCTCTGAGAAAGTCATCGCCACCCCACACAGCGGGAGAGAAGCAGTTGCCACCTCCACCTTCCAGCCCCACATGCAGTGGATGATCAGTGACTCATCGCAAAGGGAACAGTTTCTTTTTGTGGATGCAATGCATCTGCATTAGGCTGATTAAAATTGTTCCTTGTCAGCTTAACAACTGTGATATTAGAAAGTCTGGAATGCAAATGCA